CACGATAAAGCATTCATGGATTTATCGAGCAAAATAATGTACATATTGATTTTTTATGTGCAAAAGTTTTTTTTTTATTTATGAAATAAAGAGGAAGTTAGCATGATCAAAGTTTTTTTTCTCTTATTTTGACATTTTTATAGACAATAGTTGTACAAAGTCTAATTATTATGGCAGCCATATGATTTCCATACCGATTTATCATGAGTACTTACCTGCATAACGTGGCACCGTAATATTTGCCAGTGGTTCCAACGGATCTTCCACTGAAAAAACCGTTCAAAATGCACCCATTGTACATAGCTAAATATGTGGGCTATATTGCGTATATGCTTTTATCTTTCATTGTTTTTATCGAAATTAATCATCTCCTTTTAGGGCATGGTACGTGGAATGATCTACTAGGCTATCGATTCTTATCCTTAAATCCTAGTTACAAAACAATTAATTTGCCGCAGAAACAGTAGTGTAACTTGATTTTTGAGGTCGATGGAGAAAAGGTACGGCTCTCTACCTCACATGTCTATCGAAGTATAAGGCACTCACATTGCACCTATAAGGCCTTATTTTACGAGTAAACTTCAATCGTAAAAATGGGTTCCGCCGCAGTGAGTTTTGGTTTTTTGTGGTAGCGCTGAACAGACTGAAACCCACTAAAATGGATTTAACTTTTTGGTAGGTACGATCGAAGCTATAAGAACGTGCAATATTACTTTCTAAGTTCTTATTTTTCTGTGTATAGAATATTACTGAAAAAGGCCTAACTTCATCGAACCTAATCTAATCTGATCTTACTATGGGGCGCTTACAGCGGGAACCGATAATATCCCGCCGAACGGGTTGAAGGACTCTGCAGAATTCGAAGTACTTAACCAAAGACTAGTATCAATTCGACAACATGCCCAACATTTAATAACAGACACCACAGCTGTTATCGTAGCCGTTGGCGAAACAAGTATCATAATATCGAGTGTAAAATTGAAAACTTTACTATGTTTCATGATGTTAAGGAAATGCGCATAGCCTAAAGGAATTAGCGTAAATATTGTCTACATTTTTTGGAAGACTGTACGCTGATCACACACACGGGCTGTAATAAATCGATACGCATAATTCGAGCTTGAAACCCAATAATGTTAACGCTTCTTTCTTCTATAACTGAGAAATAATCTTCTCTTTGACTGAAAAACAGCCTTTTCGATAACTAAAAAGGAAACCCGCCCAGCTGAATGTCGTAGAGAAGCGTACGCAGTCCTTAAGAAGGGTGAGAACGCGTCTATTTCTCTGTGCTCCTCTGTGGTATCTACGGTATCGTGGATCTTGTGAATGAATGTTATAGCATTATGCTGATGCGTTTAGGACGGCGATTTGGGCGGCGAATGTAGAAGTGCCGAAAGTTAAGCCTGCTTAAGTTATTAGTATAACTGAGCTATGGGCGTTCGAAGTTGCCTTCTACCGTACGTTCGGAACCGGCGAGTTACTTACAATACACTTTGCGGGTATTGCTGATTGTCGAAGACGAAGGGTTATACAATATAACATATAATGTATCTGTTTTTAATACTGTGAATAATAGATCATTTCGCCAGCGGTAGTGTTAATGGTAACGCTATTCGATGAATGAAAGCCAATTGTTCAGGCTGATGAAGGTGGAAGCATCCGGTAGTCAAAGGATCGAGAACTGTAATTAGCCTTGTAGATCTCCCATAACCATTTACTAATATAATTTACCAGATAATTCAAAGGGTTAACTCGAAGCAGTTCCGCAATCTCTTGTGACCGGCAGTTGGAAATAGGTTTGATAATAAATTGGTACGTATTACATGCAACAATCATGTATTGAGATTTCCTTGATAAAAAAAACATTCGATTAGTTATTTTAGCGTCAGTTTTATATGCCATCATGTGCATTTCGTATAGCTGACTGTTATTAAATGTGACGATAGTTCCCCGAAACTTGGCCACTTCTAAAAAGACGACCATACCATATAGAAACCGATTTATGACGTTAACGCATTTACTCTTTATTACGGCGTCGCTTCTGCCAGCAAGTGTATCGAAGGGGTCCGCCTATGTTACGCCAACACAGAAGCTTGTTGCTAGGCGTCGCTGAAAAACGTATAGTCCCGTGTCCAGCCCTTTAGAGTGCTGGGAAAACGAATTGTCACACTAATTCGTATCCAAACCAACATACCATAGATTTAGCCAGAGTCGAGCTAGACAACTTTTAGCAGCTATGATCTCTTATATGATATGGAATACATACGTGCGAGACTTGTATTCCTTAATCCTCTGAGAGGCCGAAATAGAATAGTAATTGTAGTAATCCTAGAGTTTTTCTCGTTATTTTCAGTGAGAAACTGTCGTTCACAACGATCCAATAGCGCTTAACCTGACAACAACTCGAGACTGAATCAATGCTAACTGTGGATTGACCGAGGTCTGTGTCCGAGTCGTTGGCAGGGTTTGTCGATTACTAGTCAACGTCAAACAGGCCAAAAACAAGAACCGATTCTATTGTCAGACGGACACCAGCAGTAGTAATAACATACCAGTACATTATCTTGAATCGCTTATCGCAACGCAAGAAAGAAATGCGTGACTGATATTTCATCAATGTAAATTGTTCTAACATAGGAAGGCTATTATTTTCGTCTTTCAATAACTTATTTTACCCTATTTTAAATAATTCTGGTTATTACAATGGTGGTTAACTAGTTTTGCTACAGTTAACATAGTGCGGAATTGAATTTAATAAGGACACGCTTATTTAGGCAAAAAAAAAAAGTGAAAATATTGCCCCCAGAGCAGTTTGCACGTTTTTTTTTTTGCCTTGACACCATAAACACACAGAACAATTAAAAGCAACTATATCGATTCAAGCATTTACGTATATGGGTAAGAACAAAATTTTGTTTGTAGCAAAGTGTCTTTGACGCGACCTTTGTCATCTGCATGACTTTATCATGCCTTGTAATAAAACCATCTTACCACGCCACGTATCTCATCTCATCTCAGGAACTTCTAAGATCAGTAGATGAGCGATGCCTGCGAGCGAGGACGCTTTTGTTCTTAAGAAAGATTCACGACGTTCAACGGAACTACACCGTAGCGTGATTGACCACCTGTCGGGCGATCTGCCCGCCGCTGTAAATGGACTAGACAAATTTAGTAGCCGACGCTTGCTGACACAACATATGGCCTCTATTAGTGTCTCAACAGGAACCAGTTGGCGAATTTATAACGGACGTCAGGTTTTTTCGTGATGCATTTAGGTTGTGGTACCGCAGATACTTTGCTCTTTTCTCCGGCTTTGATTTATTTCGTTGCTGCACGTGAAGAACAGACTCTATTTAGTCTTTCTACTCTATTACTGACTGTTGTCCTTATGTGCCAAACTTGTTAAATTTCAGTAGATTCAATGAGTTTCGGCTGTCGCGTAGAGATTGAATCTATTTTTTCTATCATATTTACTAGAAAAAAAAAAATTACACCTGTCTTATTTGTAGCTGAAGTCGAACTCTAGTCATCTAGTCATCAACCCCTCTATGAAAATCTATTCAGACAACAGAGCATGTCTTTTTTGGTAAAGCCAAAAAATGCAGGCCTGTTGAAGGCTGTTCGCGTATTTTCATCGACTAAATCAATAACCTATGTAGAATGTCACTTTAGCATAAGAAAGGCACATTAAGAGATTTCATTGCTAAAACCAGACCTTATCGAGCGTTCCACGACAAATTTAGACAGGTTTGGCCTGCTTTCCTGTTGAAACAATCGTCGCTACAATGAGGCCTGCATGGGATACGTTGTCTAATTTAAGTCGACCTGGCTCATGTGCCGAGAGCACACTAATAAATAGTTCGTTTATGCTGAAATTCGTCTATAATTGAGATTCCTGTATTATTTTCCTAAGCAGATCAGAACTTTTTTCTTGTTATGCTATTCGACAGTCACAAATCGTCAGATTGGATAAACGTGGGGAATGGGTATATAAGTACAATTAAAGGCTAATTCATTTTTCTGTGAAAAATCAGTTTCAGCAGAAAAGTGTGGATCAATTTTGCTTTTATATAACCGCGCAGAACCTATGAAAATTTCGCTACTTAGGATTTCCTATGAACTCAGTAGTTGTGCAATTACGTGGAAAACCTCAGCGCAGGCAAATTGGCGTTTAAAGGCTTTTTAGAGTAGAGACTGTATCTGCATACTGTTCACTTGGTAGTGGAACACGAATAGGTTTTTTTTTTTGTTAATTCAAGCCTTTATACAAGCTCGATACACCAGCTTCAGATCTTGTCCAAAAAACATGAATTTATGCCTGATTTTATTTCTAAGACGAGAAAAGCAATATACGAGCTTGTTACTCCTTTATATTCGTTTTATAGAAAATCGAAGGTCATAGTCTCGTCCTGAAGTCATGAAGGACATGCATGCCTAAAGCATAACGAAGATGTGGGTCCTACCGTGTTGGAATTTCTAATGATTACTAATAAGCATCGCTGTTCGAAGAAGAAAACCTAGCTCGCATAGCCTATTTAGAGTTCACATAGACAGTTTACGACATTCACTGTTTAGCCTTTATGTGTAGTTAATAATAAAAAAAAAAAAAAAAACAAATAATGCGGGAAATAGGCAATTAACTTTTAAATAAAGTTGGACCTGTTTGGGTAACGTAACGTGTTTCCGTCGCAGACTGGCTAAAATCGATAAGGTATCGACTACGTCGAAAACGTTAATAAAAGTGTATCATTAAGTACCCATTCAAATTGGTACTGTTTTAAGTCGCATTGATCGACGAAGGGCTAACGCTTCTTCTAGTCCCGATATTGATAATACCGTACTCTTACTCATTTGTTTATGAGCTTTTCGTACATCGAAATTAGCAAATAATTGCACTTAGAGACAAAATTGAATCACACTGAATATAATGTTTGTTGGATCATAAAGTTCACCAAATAATATTTAATAATAAACTCTATAAAGATTAAAATCTTATTTGCAAACTGGGCGTGCTCCGTCAAAAGACGTCTCGAAAACACTTATCATTAATTGGGCAAGTGGTTTTATGTTCGCAGAACGATAATGATGCCCAAACACCAGTCCCATACTATTAACTTCACTACATGTCGGGGTTTAAAAGAATTATTTAATAACGTCTCTAGAAATGATTTCACAATGACCAACTAGTGCTACATAGCGACTGGAATAAGTATAAGATATCAGTTTCGACGACAGTTGCTGAATATCACTTTTAGTTGATTCGATAGTAGTTCGTTCCTTATTAAAACACTGATATTATTAACCAATCCCAATTTAACTGCTTCAAACTTTATACCATTTTTTGCAGAAGTTTTTTTTCTGCGTGTACTTTATAGAGGTCCACTCGAATCCGTAAGAGGGCGCCATCTGCTCCACTGTCTCGCAACATCGTAGTGGAAGCTTCTCGTTTCCCGCCACAAAACGTTTCCTTCCTAGAAATTCCATATCTCTCCCATCTGTTAGCTGGCTCCCTCTCGCGCATCCCCGCACCGCAAAATGATCATCATGCAATTCTTTCCGCCGTTCTTCCTACGACGTTGTCAGCCATACACAACACTTTTCGGTTGTTCCTGCTTCTCTCGGAACAGTAATCGTCGCAAACAGTCTCCACGGTTCACATCTCCTCCAGACCCCGGACTATCGCGATGTGTCCGCCAGAGCGCGCCTCCATCGCCTGAACTCGTGCTGCAGCAGTCCAGCATCGGAGTCGGCCGGAGCGAAGCTCATCATCGCCGCGCTGTCAGAATAGAGAACCGAAACTACCTTCGATCCCCAGCTGCCCATTCGGGATAGCAGCCTCGCACTGATCCAACGGCGACTCCTGCACTAGCAGCCCCCCTTTCCCGACTCTTTCTTCCTTTTCGATTGCTGAGTTTTGTGTCCCATCGTCGTCAGTCTTTTCTTCGTTTTCCTTTCCATGGCTTCCCTTTCCCTCTGTGCATAACAACGGAAACATGGATCTCTTTGTCGTATATACACACAGACCCACGAGCTTCGTAGAGGGCTCTTTGGCCAGGGGAGAGAGACGAATTTGGAGCACACGACGACGGCGATGAGTGCGACGAGGACGGCCAGTTCCACTGCTGTTGCCATACCACAACTGTATGTGTTGTGGGGCCAGAGTATAGTGAGTGAATGAGTGAATCAATGAGTGAGGAAGCAGCAAGGAGTCTCTCGCTTGCAGCGGCTGTCAAGTAGAGACCGGAGAACCTGCCGCGATGGGCTCGCGTTCTTTCATTGGTCTGTGTTTGTTCTTTATTCTTGCTCCGAATACCGGATCAAGGGAAGTAGACAGAACAACGATAGCTGCTACTATTTCCCGCGTCGAACGCAGAACGTGCAGTAATACACGAGTGTATCTGTTGATTCGTAACTTTACGTGTTAACTTGATTAGAACAAAGCGAGCAATTTGTAGCGGCGGAAAGCGCGTTTCCTTCTGTGGAAGAAAAGACTAACGCCAGTTAGAGTACAGTGAATGGTCTATAGTGATCAGTTGTTCAAACCGGTATCCAGTGGAACGGAGCGAAGCTACAGATCGTGAACCACTAAGTATATTGCACATGGCGTAGGAAGGACGGGCCTGCTTGACCGAAACGTTTCTTTTGTCCTTCAGTTGACAGTTCGTGTCGAAGACGGCGCACACGCTTACATTGCAAAGCCCAAAGACTGACGCGAGACAAATCGTTCATCGAAAATTGATCGAGGCATTTCGAGCGAAGGGCTTGAACGCCATGCATTGACTGTGTATGTGTATTGTGAGCTGCGAACATTTGTCACGGTGTCATGCAACGGATACTCGAACGCGAGGATGTACGATCAGCTAAAAGGTGCCGAGGTGCACGATAGCATGCAAGTGTCGTCGTAACAAAGTACGCAGATGTCTATCCTGACAAAATCCGACCGAAAACAGCACGTCGTTTTACTTCTATTTACATGCAAGATATTTTGCCAGTGAAAGATTATTCACTTACAATACGACACAAATGATTGTTTACCACACTGGCCAATAAGATCAGTGAACGCTAAACATCGGAGGAGAACATTACCGTGGAGCCTCTTTATCTATCGTAGGTTCATCTGTCTTCGCAGTGCGCATGAGAGTCGAGCTAGGGCCGATAGGCGATGCATTACGGAGAAGAGGCGAAACATCAGCGAATCAGGTGCAGCGTTATAGAGCTCCATATAGCGAAACAGCCATATAAGATTTTAGGTTGATTAAAGAAAGATAGCTTCACTAAAAACTATAAGCAAGTACAAGGTTTAGAATAATTTGGCGTTTTGTGCATATAAACACGGGTATGGAAATGCAGTGCTCTGTAATATTTCCATAACTATTGCTCTAACTGCATGTGTGAGAAATATTAAAGTAAATGTCGTCATTATTATAAGTAATATATTTTTGCCACTTGACGCAATGAAGGTACTGGGTAGTAACTGAAGAGTAACATCAATTTACATGACAGTATCCCAACTAAGAGCCTCCATGGTAATTATTTTAATCCTAACTGATGCCATAAGTAAATCGGCTAGTAGGCATAAACAACGCTCGGGGAGAACAGACGCATTTAAACAAAACAAAATGAAATTTTTTTTTTTTTTTTTTTTTTTTTTTATTTCAATACAACTCGCTGCTCGAACACAAAGGGATTACACAATTGTATAGAATCTTTGCCGTTTCCCATCTGTCAGTTCGTAGGGACTTAAAGAGGAAGATCGTGCACGAAGTGCGTGTCTTCCCTTCCATGTGGCTAATTCTCTCTATAGATATATATAATCTAGCATTTCTAGTAAAACACTGGTCTTCGCTATAAAGATAAATTACCTGTATCGCTTAAGGGCATCTTCAGGCCAGCGCCGCACCCAGGATCCTTTATAGAATAATAGGCGGATTTTGTTCTTGATTATTCCAGGGCACAGAAAATAGTTCGAGGGCCGTTAATTATCGAACCGAGAGGAGAGGCTTGAAGAATCTTTTATCATAAGAACTTTGGTTTACGAACGCCTACAGGTGTGTTTTTTTAAAAACTACTTGTCCTTCTTTTTTAGAGTTGAGCCTGTAACGAAGGTTTAAAGCCTAAATAATTCTTCCGTGAGGTCAGAAAAAAAAGACTACTTTGCAGCAGACGTTTGCTTGACTTGCTTAACTAAATAAATACATTCATAAGACTCCACCTTTAACTCATATGCTTTTTTCTTTATATGATTTGCTTGCACTATCACTTTATTGCACGCATCTTCAACCCTATATGTGTTGTAGCCAGCCATGTTGGAATCGCGCTATAGCTAACGTTCATTTGCAAACTTTCCAGCACTCTTAAGTTACGTTGATCATCACCTTGTCTTTAAAAGCATATCATATCCTCGATATTACTCTGTACGCAGCTACCCAGAGCCTATTACTCTGTTTAAAACTATTCAAATCCTGACGCCACCGAGCTTGCCCTACCTTCTTTGCGGCCTCTGCCACTGCCCACTTTGCCACGATGGCTTGACACTCAAATCGTCCTACAACAGACCTCTAGTCCGCATCCGTTAAAGCACATTGAACGCATTATGAGGAGTATTTATCGAAAAACAAATACTTCTACTTTACTTCTTCCTTTACTCGGAGCGTGAAATAGGTAAATGCTTACACGATTCTCTGCATAACTCCGTTATTCAAAGTCAGAGAGAGCATGGTTAAAACAAGTAATAGTCGAAGTGATTTCAATGCTGAAAGGCTGTTTTTGGCCTTCTGCAGTCCCTGAGAAAAAAAAAATAGGTGGAACAAGAAAATAATTAATCTCGTCTCCTTATAACACCACCAGCGTGGGACAGAGCGTACCGACGAAGTTGCCACGTACTACTGCATGGCACCCTGCGACATCGTCTTTGTAGCACGGGGTACCCTGCATGTTTCATACGCACTCGCTCGGATGAAACTCTATCGGTTTCGCCCCTGTTGCCCTACGGGCTTATTGAGGTATCGTGAAACCTTATCCCTGACTCGGCACTGCTGATAACGGATATTTGAAACTTTTTTTCTTTGCCCCTGGACAAATCAGAACGAACGGATGAGAAAGGACGGCATTGGCGACGCTGATGACCGTGGGAATGATAAAGACAGTCTGAGACGAGAGAAACATAGAAAAGATTAATGGGAAAAGGGCGAAAGACAGGCACTCTGCTTTGGAACAGACCTTGGTAATTAGGTAATTGTAACGACGAATAATAACAATAATAATAATAATAATATGAAGCTAAACACACACTATAGTGAGCCAGGCTTGTTTGGCCAGAGGAGCTGAGCAACTACCGCTAGCCTAAGGACTGCGAGCTAAAGTTATATCAATCTATACACGTTGCTGTTAGATGGTAAAAATTTCAGCGTGCTTCTGCGGACGACAGATCCTATGTGGTACCATACGGCGTCACAGTCATACAGTCTCAAATAGTACAGACGTTACCCTAGCGTTTCTGTTAACAGTCACTCATTTATTCCAGCCCATACCAATCGCGTCACGTTCAGTGAGGTCAATATCGACTATAACAACAGAAACACTCGATCGGCGGTACATTTTTCTCCATAAGCAGATCCTAATCGCGCTGCTCAGCTGGCTCCACTTGATGATATCCGCTTCCACAGAGTGGTTGCGCGTGTTACCCATTCTATTATATATAGATTGAATTATTTATGATCTCGTGGCAATGGCACCAGCGCGCAACGAGCTGCACAGATGGCAGGTTCTACGTAGCGGCCACGTTCCGCGCGGCCTTTACCACTGCTTTCGAAGGCCGCATATGACGCGCAGTACTCGTGTGACGGTCGATAGAGTTGATTCAAAAGGGGTTCGGACGGATGATTACGCGTCGGCATGCGACTTCGGACAGCAGAGCTTGCTGCTGGACATTGCGGCAATTATTGGTATAATACGAAGCTTTGCAAAACGAAGAAAAATAGGCGACCGTGATGGCATATGTTGACAATGAGAAAGCAGGCCGGTAAGTCGGACCCACACCGTGATACGGCAGCTGAACGTGCTGTTATAGAGTAATCCACGGAAATCTGTGCTGGAAAATAATGGAGAGCTAACGTGTTTCGAGCGTCATGATAAATAGGTTCAGATGATATACGCCTACGCAAAACTGACACGAGCTCTGTTCGAGAAAGCATCTTGTATCTCGGCTAGGTTGATTTAAAGGTAGTGTTAAAAGTGTGGGTAGTCCGCGTGCGGATTTATCTGTTATCCAAGGCAATGGAAGTAAAGAATGTACTATGCGCTTGAGACAGTAAAAAGAAAGTAGAAACGTCATTGAAAAACAGTAGCCACATAGACTTAAACCATGAAAACCGACCAACATGTATTTTAAAATACCGTGTATTATTTACTTACTAATAATAAGTAGATCCGTAACCTAAACACCAGGGACCCTTGTAGATTCAATGAGAACTTTCTGTCTGATCTCGGTACTCGATTTAACCGATGAAAGTTAATTGAAGACAATTCGAGCTGTATCACGACAACGTGAAGCTAAGATAACCGGAACTTACGCATCTTTGAATCATGAATTGTAGGGGCATCTTAGATTAGTATCAACAAACGTTAGGCATAAAGACCTTAAAATGGTTACGAATTTCGGTTGTACTTGTCGCGGAAAGCCAAACATTTGGACAAGGATCACTTGAAGAAAACACTTGGATGTTTCTTATACTACATAGGAGTTTTTTTCGTTGTTGCTGTATTTGAGAGAAGAACGACGTAAAACTATCGACAAGTTAATTGTAAGTTTGTTTGAACGAACTCAAACTTGATTGAAACTCGTGTCTCTATACGATAACGCAACAGTCATTGTCATTGGCATTAGCGCTTCTTGTTCATTCAGTCGATCAGCAAAAAATGCCGAATTAGGAGTAACGATGTTATAGATGGTACAAGGTCATCAACATGGAGGAGTTCGAACTCTGGACTTTCTCTGGAAAAGGTTTCTCTAAGTTTAGGACCTCTGGTAGACAGTCTGGCCTGAATTGTTCTAAAAAAATCGATTTTTAACAGTAGCGGCTAGTTGTATGGCCTATCAGTCCAAGTAGGATTTCAAAACGTCACTGTAAATGGAAGACGTGTGCCATTATTCCGCGTAAAAACAAGGAAACATTTTAGCGTTAAATCGCAATGAAAAACAGCTATCTGATTAGGAATAACTAAGTGAAGTATATCACGCTCCAGTACAGACAGACTATGCGTCTATTCACGTCTCGCCAACTCTAAGCAGAAGCCAGCAATAGCAACCAGCTGATAAACAAGGACAGTCTGCGTTTTTTTTTTACTTTTATCATTATGTAATATATAACTTACCTCTCGATCACGATCAATTTACGAGCTACATGATTAGATTAACATCGTCTCTATTTTCGAGCTGAAACCGTCCATGTCTGAGAATATTTCCCATCAAACTCCGACTCCGAATCCACCGGTAGATTTTAATACTTTAAATAAGCTCACAGCCTTATCTCTAGCATAACTCCATTCCATAGCACGAGACTATACTGGGAGCGCGTTTAGTCCATTTAATTGTCCTCCCAAAAACCCCCTACCTGAAATTTACTTGTGTTGGGACCACACATTATTTCAGGTAGAAAATATTGTACCTGAAATAATATGTGGCCCCAACGATAATCATACGGTGCTGTTTTTTGAGTTCATTGGCAACGTCTATTGTATAGTAGCTAGGCCATGTTTGCCAAAAGTTCAGCCCATCGCAACGATCAGCTTTCGTCAACTAAGCCTTAAGCTTGAGGAGTTGTGGTTCTCCTGTGATCACCTATTGTCACGTATAACAGTTTCAAATATTCATTTTAAATACTGTTGATTCCATGGAAGTGTCAGCATCTAACGTCAAATCTGCTTCATCTTACATACGCGCCCAGCTATGCACAATACTTGCTTTGTAACAAAACAGTCAAATACCCGTACTTCCACCGAGGATTTCCATATGCTAATCACCAGAGCTTCATCATGTCAGTTATTATTGTGCCTACAATTACGACCTGCATACGGTTACGAACCGCCTTTGCCTGTTCACTGCTGTACCTCGGTGCCTCAGCTCTGTACCCCAGATCACAAATTGAAACAGACACACATCTTTTTAAACATGTCATGTGTTGCCTCGGCCCGCTCCGTTT